AAAGAAATGTAATATTCTCAAATGAATGAACAAAGCAATATTTCTTACACCTCCACCAAATTTGCACATCACGCCAACGCAAAGAAAATATACATTCGACCTCGTTCGAATCAATATACATTCGACCTTGTTCGAATCGTTCTACATTCAACTTTGTTCGAATCGTTCTACATTCGACCTCGTTCGAATCGTTCTACATTCGACCTCGCTCGAATTAACTTACATTTGACCTTGTTCGAATCAATATACATTCGACACGTTCGAATCAATATACATTCGACCTCGTTCAAATCGTTCTACATTTGACCTCACTCGAATTAACTTACATTCGACCTCATTCGAATCAATATACATTCGGCCTCGTTCGAATCGTTCTACATTCGACCTTGTTCGAATTGTTCTACATTCGACCTCGTTCGAATCGTTCTACATTCGACCTCACTCGAATTAACTTACATTCGACCTTGTTCGAATCAATATACACTCGACCTCGTTCGGATCATTCTACATTTGACCTCGCTCGAATTAACTTACATTCGACCTCGTTCAAATCGTTCTACATTCGGCCTCGTTTGAATCAATATACATTCGAACTCGTTCGAATCGTTCTACATTCGACCTCGCTCAAATTAACTCAAATTCAATCTCGCTCGAATTAACTTACATTCAACCTCGTTCAAATCGATGACCTCGTTCGAATCGAACCGAAAGTCAGGGACTTTCTCACAAAAGAACACTCACAAAAAGAAAAGAAAGAAGAGCTAGAAATACACAACAAAAGACAATTGTTCCATTTTAATCATTCCATTCCAATACATATTTACAAAGGGCTGGAAAGACGCCGCCACAAAAAATAGCAAGACACAAAAAAAGCAAAAACCAAGTACAAAGACTTCACGCCGCATCATCCCCCCCATCACCAACGTCACCAGCATACTCATCATCGTACCAAGGGTCGAATGTAAGACCATCTAAGGTGTCTTCATCATTGTCTCCTCCGGGCGTACCGGGATCATAACCACAGGCGTCACGAGCTGGACGTGCCTTGACACGAACATCCTCAAGTTCCGCCTCAAAAATCTTCCCAGCCGTCTTCAGAGACTTGTATATATCAAGTTGGGCCTCAGCATGAACCCGCATTTCATACAACTTTCGTGACACACCGGGATCGGCAGAAGTAGGAGATGAAGATGGCCGGGCCTGCTCTTGCGCCTTCTCGGCTCTTAGAGCGACAACCTGCTCATTCAGCTCAGATAGCTCTGCTTCCAAACCCCCAATCCGCTCCTCAAACCTTGCCTCCTTGAGCGCCGAAGTTTCCGCCTCAATAGCCCGCTCAGACCATCAAACACGAAGGGCGCCCACCAGGACTGCCACCTCATCCACATCGGCCATTTTTGCTTTCTCAGCTCGGCCCAACTCTTAGACCCTGGTGCTCAACTCACCCCTCAAGTTGACGGCCCTTGCTTCGCCTTGCTCGAGCTCGACCCTTAAAGACGCCACCTGCTCTTGAAGGTTAGTGTTTTTGGCCATCACTCCCTTACTCACCTCGAGCTCATCCTCCTTAGCCCTCAGCGCCCCCTCAAGCACGCTGCACCTGCCGATGGCCCTCATAAGCTCATCGTCCTTCTCCTTCAGCTCCTCATCCTTCTGCTTGAGCCCGTCGCAAAGCGTCTGAAACTGGCCGTCTTGGCTAAGTAACTCGACTAGCGTTCGATGCTTAGAACGGTACTCTTTGTACTTGGATACCAACTTCTTGAAGAGGGCCGTCCTACGCTCTTCTCGCTGATCACGCTCAATCTCCATAATGAGGGTCTGACGCGCAAAAGAAGACATGTCAGCGGAAATGAATTACACATACGAAATAAACCAGCCTAACATGGGAAAAGCAAACTTACTCGCAAGGCCATGCCAGATATACCCAACCAGATCCGCGTCTGCAGCGTCCTGTTCTCAAAATCCGGACATAGAGGAGCGAAGGCCGGCACCGCCCGTTTTGAATTGGCCAAGAGGTCATAATCTATGTGGACGACTATGTGCCGATCAGGCCCCTTTGTCCTTATCTCCACTCGGGTGAACCTCTCCTCAAAAGCCCGCACCTCCACAGGGTCAACATCGGAACCCGACCCATCATCTTCTACGAGGATGTTTTTATCCCTTATGTCCACTGATGATGAGCTGACCCCGGCCACTCGTGTAGGTTCCCCTCTGTCGAAGGTCCCTTCAACCTCTAACGGTCTTTCCTCCGTAGCAACAACCAGCATGGGAGCAGCCTCAACGCCTAGTAAGGGCACCGCATCCAAAATAATGGGCCTTTCCGACTCGGTATCAGCAGCACCAACCCTTCCAGTCTCCACCCTTCGCCTTTTCCTCGGTACCACCTCCCCCTCGTCATGAGACGACTCGTCAATTAGGTGTAGGACGCGGTGATCGGAGGTCTCAACTGACGTGACGGTTGCCTGCGGGGCAGAATCAGCCAACGATGAAGCTAGAGTTTGGCCCTCTCATATAGACTCGGCCAGTACAAATTGCATTCCAACCGAAGCGACTGCCTGGCGAAATGCAGGCACCGGAGCCTTCGCCTTCTTGGAAGGTCGCCGATCTGGTGCAAAAAGAAAATCATGTTTAACAAAAAATGATGACGTGGTAAGCTATAACGAAAGCGAAAAGGTCGTAGAAATGGGAATCAGACTCACTAGTCAAAGGCTTGGGACCGAACTGCTTGTTAAAGGACATCCAGTCGCGAATCCCCACAGTATGAGGTAAGACGTGAGTCATCCAGTCTTCGATATCAGGAACCAAGGGAGGTGGACGCTCACCAGCTGAAAGTAGAAAGACATGAGCAAGTCAGAAACAAAAAGAGGAGGGATGAACAAAATATATGACGAACGGTGAAAGGCCCTTACGATAGAAGTTCCACTGCTCAGGGAACCCGACTGGGTCCGCCACTACGTTCTCGATCCTGACGAAGAAGTAATTGCACTCCCGTCACCAATCCTTTAGCCCCACGGTGGCAGAGATGAATCAGCGTCCCCCTGTAGAAACTAGGCGAGAAGAGATGCAGCAGATGGCGAATGGAGACTTTGCAACCGGCCAACTCTGCAAACTTCGCCAGCATCAAAAAGGCCTTATATAGGTAAGGGGAAAGTTGTGCCGGGCAGACGCCATAAAAGCGGCAGAACTCCTTAGCGAGTGGGGAAGAGGAAGAGAGTAACCCACCCAAAACGGGTATTGGTAGAAAACTCAATACCTAGGTTGGTGAACTTGTATTGAGTCATTCCCCGCCGGAACAATATCGACGTAGGCAGGAATACAAAATTTAGACCACATGTCAGATATTTGCTTCGACCTCATGGCTGATAATACCTGCTCAGGAGCAGGGGCAGGTTCCTTCTGAAAGTCATTTCTAATCGACGGGTTCTGAGGAACTATTTCCTCCACGGTGGGAAAACTTTCAACTTTCGCAGCCGTGGGTTCGCCACTGCCGGAAGGCATAGCCACCGATAAAGGGATGGCATCAAAAACTATATCAGAAGTGTGAGGGGAGTTTATCATTTATACAAGAAACATGTATACCGTAGAACCAGAAGAAAGGTACCAACGGGAAAGCGTTTGATCAATGGGAAAGCTAGAATTGAAAAGCAGAAGTAAATCGGAAATAAGGGTTAAAGCAGAAGAACAAGCAAAGTGCCAAAGGAGTATGAAGTTCGAAAAGTCCCATTTTTGAATCTCCCTTCCCCTATTTATAAGTTATTATGGCACCCAGATTAATGCAAGAAACTGTCACTGACACTAAGATCGAAGCAATAGAGGCACTGGAAACGACGCATTGCATCGGGAAGATGCGTAATGATGACACGTGTGGTCATGACGTCATCCTATGTTAGCCACGCCAACCACAGCCTTTGATTAGATACATATAAAATTCAGCTATGACCCATCACTAATGCGACGTCGACCAATTCAGCTCATTCACCATGGCGAAATATCTTGAGATTGGATACAGATAAAATCCGCTCATCAAGAACGAACTCAATAAGCGGAGGGACTAACTGTATGGGTCAAAATTAGGTATAGTTTAGCGAATGAAGACGGACGAGATGAGGCCGAGGTCAAAACCAAGCACGGTTCAGTGGCGAGGAGTCGTTCAAAGGGAGAGACCAGTGCCGAGGTCGAGTAGAGAGCAAACGACTACAACTATCAGAATATTCCTGGGATTATGAATAGGAATATTCTGCTGAGTATTCTCCCACATTGTACTTTTTTAGGGTTTTCTAGGGATATCCAAACATTTTATACATCAAACAATATAGTACAATACGATACGATACGATACATTATGAAACGATATATAACAACCATCCTAACAAGCTGTCAAAGTAAGTTTTGCGCTGTTGTGAAAATGGTTGCTGCTCCTTCAATTTGGGGTTACTTGTGCTTCCAACTTTATTTTGTTCATAACCTGAATTTCTCTTCGAGAGGTTTTTTCGACCCACTTTCCATAATCTCCTATTATTCTGAACATCACTAATAATGTATCTTTCTAATTTTTTGAGTTTCATTTTCTTTAAGTTAATCGACATTATTTTCACTTTCGGAAATAATTAAGTGTGCAAAACCTCTTTGGATAAGAAATATTTTGATTTTTTTCAATCAAAAATAACTTTGATTGTTTAACCAATCAATCTTTGTTTAAAAAGATATAAAATATGTCTAAGGTAAATTTTGATATTAAAAAAACCAACAAATATCTCTAATAATATCATGGGGAGATCACTTTTATCCTGCAGTAAAAACTATTTATATCCGATAGCCGCAATAACATTTAAAATTTATAATTTGTTTTGTATATAACATACAGAGATATACATATATATACATATATTTTTCGGCAGTATCATTTTCCCAAATAGTTTCCTCTTGTAAATGGGCTGCCTGGCCTATATGTAAAAGCGGCCCAATTTTTCTCAAACCCAAAATAAACCTCCCTTCCACGCGCCCCAAAAGCTTATGAGCACCAAACAGCTCAATTTGCAGATTCCTCTATTTTCTTCAACAAATCGAAGTACGCCCTATTATTTTTCTCCTTCTTTTTTCTTTGTTCCCATATTCCCACTGTTCCCAGTTTGTAAATCAGGAAATTTAGCATTATTTCGGGTAAGTCATCTTTTACTTGTTTTGGTCTTTGAAATCGCATAGCTATGTGATTTTGTGTTTGTGAGTCATGTAAAAACATCCGATGATTTGTTTGTCTTTTGTTTTTCCTAGTATCTGATTTTTGTGTTTAGTAAGTTTCAAACTTGGTGGGTCTTGCATAATTTTCTATATTTTGCTTCCCCTGGTTGATTGTTTGGATTTATTATGCTACTGGTTTTTGTGTTAGGTTTATTTTTTTACTATATTATTGGCCTTGGAATTGCTCTGATTCTTGAGTTGATGGGCATTAATATTTATGATTTAAGGGCAAGAGTACTTTGGATTTGATGATAATGATAAAAATTCATTGTAATTTGTTGATACTGAAAATGTCACTTGTTTTGGGGTTATATGGGAAGTTTAATCACTAAGTTGCTGGCACCTATTAGTGCATTGAGCCTTGAGACTTTATCATCACATGATGAAGTTAAGGAATAACAATTTCTGTTTGATAATGCTAAAGCAGCATTATTTTGAGAAAGAGACTTTTTAAGAAGAAAAAAATCAGGTAGAGCTTGTAAGATGTCTGAGCATATTGTAACCTCACCTCTTTTAATGTAGATTGCCTCCCTAGCAAAAGAACTTGGTTTTGGTTGGTTAGCTGTCGGCATTAGCTTGTGTAATTAATTACAGGGTGCATGAAACTTCAGATGTAAACTCATCTTATGCTGTTGTTAGGGGCAGATCTAGGACCTTTGGCCAGTTGGACAATTAATGTGTAACTCTTTATGTTTTTCTTTTGCAACTTTGAATCAAGATATTACTGATTAAGCATGCCTAAAGAGCAATTGCTGAATTTAAAATCTTAAAATTGCTTTGATTCTTTCCGTACTTCTGAAAATTTAATACTAGCTTTTTCAAGTAGTACCGTATAGCTCAGTGTTTGCCTTTCTTTCCTTCATTTTCTCAAGTGTTGACCGCTAGTCTTCAATTTTGAGGGGTAAACATTTCAAATTGACATGGGAACAAATTGTTCTTTCCAAAACTTGTGAGGGTGCAATTCCCCGCCCTCAATCATACATAGAGACCATCTCTTGCTGATTTTACTATACTCGGCCTCAGCTATGCCTAAATGGCATTAGATGACTTTACTTGGGGTTCCTATTGGAATTCAAGGCCTGTACTGGAAATATCCCGCTGCAATGAGAAAGTGACAGTGATGAGAATGTTTGTCTTAACTAAACTTTGCTCCTGTTATTGGGGTAGAAGGTTGAGATTCTTATAGCTGATTGTGAGTATGGTCATGAATTTGCGTAACCATTTCTAGTCTAAAAATCTTTGTCCTAGTTGTTAATAACTCAAATTTGCAATCTCTAGTTTGTGCGTCCTTGGGCTCAAGAAAAGGCATTATCTATGACAGGATAAACCAAACTTGAACAATATATTATCATATAAGCCATTTTAGGCAACATTAGTGTTTATTCACTTGATGATATAGCCGGCTTTATTTGGGAGATACACTTAAATCTTATGCAAGGATGGTAAGAGTGCCCCAGAGAAAAAAATTGTTCTCCGCCTGAGTACCTTTTTTCCTTTGCTTCCTTGCAATTCTAAGACCCGGAGAAGTTGTAACTTCAGTTTCCTGTCCAAGCCAACATTTTCATATATGTTTATGCAAGTGTTTGCTTTGAATCTTGAATCAATAGCATGGACTCTGCTGGCCCTTTGGTTTCTCTTTTGCACCAGTCACTTGAGAGAAATGACCTCTGCCTTGATATATTTGATCATTTCAAGTGCTCTTACATTTCCACGATTTGTGACTTTGATCAATATAAAGTGGTTGAAGTAGCTGAGCCTGGATATGATGTTTGACATAGTCTCTTTTTTTGTCTCAGTGCTATGGCTGCCAGAGCTGAAGAACCAATCAATGAGCAAGCAGTTGCTAACATATATGGTTCCATGAGGGCTGAGATCAACCAGATTTACTCTAAAATTACGGAACTAGAGATGGAAGTTAGTGAACACTCACTTGTGATCAATGCTGTACAACCACTTGATCCTTCAAGACGGTGTTATAGGATGATTGGAGGTGTTCTAGTAGAGAGAACTATCAAGGAAGTCCTGCCTGCTGTTCAACGCAATAAGGAGGGAATTGAGGAAGTAATAGCTCGACTGAATGAAGCTCTGGAGAAAAAGAAAAAGGAAATATCTGACTTTGAAACCAAGTATAAAATTAGAATGAGAAAACCTGATGCAGAAGTAAAAGAGGAGAGTGGTCGAAAGGAAGGCTCCGCACAAGGAGTCCTTGTTGGTCCTGCTGGTTCAAATGAGTAGACCAGTCTGTTTGCAAAATCCATTTTGAGATACTTTGTTGAATATGGTCAAGGAACTATTAACATTTTAGCATAGCTATTCCGGTTATTAGCGTGTGATTTATCGTGTTTATTTAGCTTACTCAGCATGAACGTGAGGTTTTTGGTTTCTTATGATGAGAAAGTTTATATGATCAGATTAGTGGTCCGAAACCATGCTTCACGCCCTACGGGGTTTTTCACTAGACGATGGTGACCTTTGGCAATCTTGATTTCCCTCCTTGAACATATGCAAGTGCTTCTACATGTCGAGGCATGTGGCATTTTCTGCTTCCGCTATGGATTGTAGTTTATTAGATGTTTGAATACTGTTGTAGATGGTTGAATTCGGTTGGTTTTCCAGCCTGCTTTTGTTAGTCATCCCTATCCACTATTTTTTCTTATAAATTCGAACATTATACTCCTCAACTGACCTTTTTCCTTTCTGTGATGGGAGGGAGCACTGGTCCTCAGTGAAGAAGATTGAAATGCTCTACCGTGGAATGAAAATTTCTCATCTATTCTTGTCTGTGCCAAAATTTAACACAGCCGATGGTGATGTATCCCGTAGCTTAAAAGAACGAAGTGTGGTAGCGGCCAAGAAGCCACGCAACAAGTTCGGTTTAAATGAATTGCAAAAGAAAATCAATCAAATTATGGGTTAGCATTCACTTTGCAGAGGATTTAAATTTCAGTTAGCCTTGCTCGAAGATAGAATACAAGCGAACAAAGTTTAAGATTGGCACCGCCTAATTTGTTAAAAAGTGTTCACTTAGAGAGAGCATTATTTAGTTAAAGAGAAAGAACTTGAGAGCATTATTACCTTGCTATGAGTAAAGGCTACAAACTACTCTACATAATACATGTAGCTAGTAACTACCCTTAAGAGAATATTCATTGGAAAAATATATATATATATATATATATATATATATATATATATATATATATATATATATATATA